CCTCCTCTCTCTGCCGGCGTCCATCACCAAGATGGCCGCCGGCAAGTAGATGGTCGTGCATGTGCGGCGACGTCACGCGCATGTGCAATGACGTTACGGCGGGGGGTCACCCGGTCTCCGCTCCGGGTGACACCCAGCTGCAGGACGCACCTGCTGGAAGGCAGACTGCCTACAAAGGAACTGCTTGCTACTACCAGTCAAATCTCGCCAGTGTTTTCTAGGGTAGGGTTTAAGAACACCAGTTAAATGAAACTAACTGCCGTCCCGATTTCACCCTCCAAATACTAAGTACATGTACAGCCAAGACTTCCAGGCTTCATATACTTTATATCAGCACCGCAGCTGCACCAAAGCAGACTTTCAAAACAACATTCAGGTGGAACTCTAGGCTAAACTTTGTTTTAATAAATTTGAACTCCGGACCGATATATAAAAAAGAATCAGTTAATACATTTTTGTATATATTTTAGAAAAAATTAAATTAAATTTTAAATGCAGCTAGTAGAAGTACCTGCATTTGTCTTTATATCAGTCTCCTGTAATCCATCCTGGGAAAGGGAGGAGCAGTACTTAGGCCAACCAAGTGGCCTGCATTCACATGGGCAGGCAAGGAACATGCTGACAAGAGGAGAGAGAGAGCAGAGAGATGTGCATTGCTCCTCAATCACAGGCTGGGGGGAGTGAGGTGACCAGGCTGTGTTGCTTAACTGTTGCAGCGAAAAGTCTGGTCACTATGCTAATTGTGCTTCCTATCAGGGCTGTGTAAATCTCAGAAATGAATGAACAGAAATACAAATCCTTTGGCAGGCAAGGGCCGGTTCACACCACAAACTCCGCGTTCCAGTGTGTTCGGCCTCTGGAACGCAAGTCGGCAGGCTCCCTGCGTTCAGGGGCGGGAGGGGACGTGGTGGTACATTGAAGTCAATGGCACCACAGCCACGCCCCCAGTGCAATCGCCCACACCTGGATTGCAAGCACATTAGTTCCATGCATGCAGCATTTTTGCAGATCGCACTGGACCAGAACGCAGACACTAATGTGCAGGTTAGTTATATGTAACCCAGCGGTGTATTTAGTGGTTTACTTGCAGTTCAGGTTTACCTTTCAGATTGGGTTTTATATCGGCGTTGGTTTATACAGTTTTCTGCATCACCTTACATCACTTTACTTCCTGTGTGGGCACTAAGGAAAGCAGTGGAGGGACTTCTCTCAGTGGGGACACAAACCATTTTTTTAAAAGTAGACTGGAGGAAAATATTACATTTGTCATGATTTTAATGTCCCTATTAAAAGGAGATTTTACCGTACCTGCATTGTGGTCTTCAGAACAGAAGGGAGGGAACATTTCCCCAGTTGGGTCACAAAGCAATAGAAGAATTCGGGAACATTTTAACAATTCCCTTCCATTTGAAAATACAAAATAAAAAGAAAATGTTTTGGTTGGGTTTTTACTTGTAATAATGTCTACTGGACTGACCACAGGAGACCAGATGGGAAATATACGGCTTCAACTGTGAACAATTTCCAGCCTTACTAGGAAGAAATGACACAACAAAACATATTATGTAACAAAGCTCCACATATATAGTGTACTAGTCGTCAATCACTGGAGCCTTTTTTTTTTAATTATTACCCGATTAACCGATTAATCGAACTTAACAAATCGGCCAACTAATAGATTATGAAAATAATCGTTAGCTGCAGCCCTAGTGTGAGGCATAGTCTGCCATGATTGTGGATGGTATGTATGGGTCATATAGCTTTCTCTGGGGTTATGGGCAGAAAACAATCTTTTGTGTCTTCTAGGATCTTAAAGAGTAATGTTCTGGGTTCTGTAGAGCTTTAGGTGGAATAACTGCTATTTCACAACAGCCCCAGTGCGGTCGGGCCCGATTCTCAGTGCAATCACCCGCATTAATGCGTGGCACATCAATGCCTGTGTTCCGGTGCGATTAGAAAAAGTGCTGCATGCATGCATGCTGCGGCTGGGGTGTGTGGCTGCGGTGCCATTGACTTCAATGCACTGCCACGCCCCCTCCCACCCCAGAATGCAGTGAGACGGCCAGGATGCGATCCAGTGTGTTCAGGTATCCGAATCGTTCCGGGAACGCACTGGGGCTGGTGTGAACTAGCCCTAAAGCCTCCAGTCTCAGGTCCAAAACTTACCTGGTAGACCTCTTTATTAGTCTCAGCTGCCCACAGGTCTTTATTTATGTGAGCCAATAGATGCTCAGGGCTCTCTCTCTTTCTCTCTCTGCTATGAAAGCCTTTGTGAAAACGGTACAAGTGTTGCCTGTCTGTGTTGGGCAACCCATTAGGGAGCAACCGGTTAGGCTTCATTCATACTTGTATAATTATCTATACACAGTGCCAATTATCTGGGAAGTATGAATAAAGTTTTATGCTTCCCAGACCCCTTTTTCCTGCTTTTAGAAGGTCCAATGGTTCAGTTGTGTTTACATTTATAGCCGTGTTTAAAGTTTCTAGATGCATAGAGCAGCTAAACGGAATGGTCCTAAATTCAGGTAAACATCCAGTCCAAATCATGCATTTTGAAATGTGCCTTAAACACGGAAACGCACCGTCCACCGTCAGCCAAGATTGACGCGTTTCATGGACAAGCCCCCTTCATCAGAATCATCAGATGAAACGCATCAATCTTGGCTGACTGCAGTCGGTGGACAGTGATGTGACCGGAGGCTAGCGTGTTACATAGACGGGGCGACACCATGTTGGGTTAACAGACAGTGTGGCCTCTCGTTTGTTTTTAAAGCCTGATGAAAATGTTTGTTTGCGAGTACTTTTATCCCTTGTTTTATTTATTGTAATACACGATTTTACACACGGAGGTGGAGCTCTGTTCCCTTTTGTTTTATTTGCCTTATCTCTGCTGAAAGACATGAGTGCAGTGAATATATCAACTCCACATTTGTATGGAGTACAGTGTGGCAGCTACCCCTGGGACTAGATATAATATATATTATATAAAAAAATAGATATAAACAACAGTCCCAGGGATATCTACCACGCTCTTTTTGGGTTCTCATCTTGATAAAGATGGACTAAGCTCCGTGAGATTCCAATTTAAATAAGAAAATGCGTAATCAGACATTGTGTGAATAAACACATCATTAGTCCAGAGATATAGACAGATATATAGATAAAGACAGCCAACATATATTCACTTTTCCTGCTTTTTAAAACCAAGTTCGCCCTGTTCCAAGTTTTTGTTTTCTTTGGTCGGTATAAAAGGTGGTATTTGTATGGTGATTTTACTGCTATTAAGAAAACTATGGCATCTTCATTGCTAGAAAAGCACAAGAAAGGCTTCCCATAGAGAGTCACAGATGGTATGTGAGGCTAAAATTAATAAAGACTCCAAAACAAAAAACCCAGACGGAAAATAGTGAATGCACAACACGTTTGCAGCAACAGAAACTCCGAAGTGACCCACAATCTCAACGTCTGCAAACTAAAGAGGACCGACACAGTCTGCCTGTCAAGGTCTTCGCTAGTCCTTTAGGAAAACTGTGGCCAGGAACCCAGAAGGTATACCATTTGTGTGGCCAGAGAGGTAGCCAACCATAGTAAAGACTTTATAGAATAAATTGGTGGATGGGAGATAGCAGGCAAGGTTTGATGCCCCCAGGAAGTGTTGGATCTTGGACTGATCAGTTTCTCCCAGCATCTGGGCACAGTGGGGGTTGTCTGAAAGCTGCATCAGGTTAAACGTGACAGCGGGGTACCATTAGGCTGGTTTCATACCATGTGCACATAGAAAGAAACAAGACAGCTGCAGCCTCCAAGGTTTGTTTATCAAGATCAGGGGGGAATCCGTGCTTGCTGATCAGAGCAGTACAGATGAGACGTCACAACTGTGACATCCGTGTCCATCCAGTTTTTTCCTCCAAATCAGGTCCAGTGAAACAGAACTGGCATTGGGCATCCGATAAAGGTACACATAAAAAAACGGACCCGATCGGACCGCCCATGTGAAAGGTACACAGAATGAAAAAATTATTTGACGCATACAACAGTTCACACATGTGTATATCACCTTTGTATTTAGCTGTTTGCTTTGCGTTCAGCTTTAAAACTTTTGTTGAATTAAAAGGAGAACTATGAGGTGAGTGCTTTTCACTCATCCTCAATGTTCTAGCCGACCTGTGACAATGAAACTGTCACAGGTCGGCTCAGTAGATCGGGAAGTGAGCGAACACATACCGGCGCTCGCTCACTTCTCGATCCTGTCACGGCAGAGAGCTGTGACAGGGTTGGGACTGGACTCTCCCCTCCCCGCTCCGATCCTCCAGTGCTGACTGGCGGAACGGACGGGGGAGGGGGCGGGTACAGCTGGCTGTGCCTCTAGATAGGCAGAGCCAGCTGTCACTCACGCAGCTGGGCGGATCCAGACATAATTGTCGGGATCCGTTTCAGCTGCGGCGTCTCAGTATACCGCGAGCTGCAGCTTGCGGTATACTGAGCTTAGGGTGACGGGAGGACGCTAGTTTGTGTCCTGCCGTTACCCTAAGGAGAACTATGGGGAAAATCCCTAACCCCATAGTTCTCCTTTACCTGTACATTACACAATACGGTTAACCCCTTCCCTGATTGATATATATATACATACATACATACATACATATTATATATACACCGTAGCAGCACACTTATAGCAACATATAAAGGGGGGGTCATTTTCCAGATAAACCGTTAACGATAGCAAACACATCTTCAACTCAACAAGAGTGCCACAAGAGTGCTACTCCTGGTCACATAGTAGCAACTGGGAGCCATTGGGATGGGCTCACAATCGTGGGATTGCTGTGACAGCCAATCACCGTGACCACAGGCCCAGGAAACACTTCTGGCATTAACATTTCTTGAAAGGCTGGCTGGGGACTGGTGGGAATGGGTTAAAAAGAATGTAAAAAAAAAAAAAAAAATAGGACACAAAACACAAAATATGGGCATATTGTCTGAGTCAAATAATGGCTTACCTCTGCGTCCCGGATAAACATGTGGGTAATATTCGTAGTAAAGGTCAGGCTGGTCTAGGTTTTTAAAAGCTTCAAACTCCATTTCGGCATTTTGAAAAAGGCCTAACTTCACCAACAAAGACAGCCGCAGGAACCAGAGCTGGAGCACGCAACACACAAGGTTACTGTTAATTTACTCTAATAGCCCACATCTTAAATAAGCTTAAAACAGAATATCACCAACATCTTTCACTAAAATAGGTTTTAAATAATAATACATACACAAATAAGACTTCTATCTGCAGCTTCTCCCACTGTTTATAGTAGGGATGCACCGATACCGGTTTTCAGTACGGAGTACCAATATTTATATTTTGGTACTCTTCGATACCAAATACCGATACTTCCGGTAGCATGAAGCTGGCTTCCCGTGCAAACAGGAAGCCGGGCAATGTGTCATTACCCGCTGCCCGGCTTCTTGATTGCGCAGGAAGCCAGCCAATCAGCATCGACCCAGCTGTCCGGCCAATCAGGTAGCTGGGCCGCGAGCCATTACCCGCGGCCCGGGTTCCTCAATGGCCGGGAAGCTGGCTCCTTGTTTCCTCACTACACTGCCGGTCAGAGGAAATCTCCCTCCGATCGTAAGTTCCAGTATCTGGGGTAAGTACCGGAGTACTCACCAATACTAGTATCGGTGTATGCCTAGTTTATAGAACAGATGATTGCAAGATCTGGTCATCCAATTACAGATCACCTTACGATAAATGCCTAACTACACACAAAATATGGTTTTTAAAGTTTTGGGTAAGGAAAAGTTTGTACCTCTCTCAGATTTTATTCATTGAGGAATTTCCCTCACTTCCTGCCCCTGTCATTATGACAAGACAGGAGGGGAACTTTCTTAATCAAAGACACAATTAGCAGTAAAAAAACCCTTCATCATAGTGGTGTGGAAAAGGGGTAGAACGTCTAACAAGTTCTTACTGCCTGAAAACCTGCACAGATAGGCAGTAACCATTAGAAGTGCTTCAAATACAAAACTTGACACTGAGTTATTAAACGAAGTAGCTCTAAAAGTTAGTATTTGAAATACAAAAAAAACAATCTTTAGTTGTCACGCAGAAAGGCGCTCAGAATGTGCAAAATAAAAATTTGGAACATGTTCTCGCTGTGAGCCATGGTGCTGCATACAGCCGTAAACAGAAATCAATGGTAAACACCGGTGTGTAAACATATACATGCGCACAGGCGTACAACCCAGAAAGCAGATAGTCTGCATCTGAGGATGTACACTCATGTGCATGCACTTGTTTACGCAAGCACCAACTTACATTACACCCATGTACAACCACCTACAGGCATGTGCACAGCATCTGTGGCTCCCAGGTGAGGAAATACACCGGGCACCCATGGGCATGAACTTTAAAGTGCATCTCTGGACAATAAAAAAAAAAAAAAAAAAAAAAACCTAACCCCCCAACCCAGAACATATTACAAATTTGCTATACACGCACGTGTGCTTTGGTTATTCTTGCTGCAGTACAGGACAATAACTGTTCGTCAGAAATCCAGCAAGTTCCTAACTTCCTTTTTTGGGTAATTTGGACCCATACACTGTGCCTGTAGGTATAGGACTCTTGGGAGATGTAGGTCTGGGGTATACCAAGATCGGTAGGAACTGAGCTTCCAACAGCTGCCCTTCCAATAAATTGACAAACCTTGGGATGAGGTCACATGGAAAAATAAAAGCGGATTCGCGGAACAAGAAAAACTTATGTTGGAACATGCTCTAGAGGGGGGAGAGAAACGTTTGAGGGGTAAATCTGGGCCATGCCAAGACAAATCATTTAATACTTAACTGAATTAAAAAATTAAATTAAAAAGCAACCTCCATATCAACTTTCCTACTGTAGGACCATCCCTCACGTGCTGAGAAAATTTAATTTTAATTTCGGTTGAACCTGTCCATGACCAGCACAGGGTTTTCATCCTCTGCACTTCTATCTTACATTGCCATCTGGAGCATGTACTAGGGGTCAGCAAGCATGGCCAATATTCTCTACAGGTTATCTCCAGATATGTGCTGAATTGGAAATGGAAAATAGAGGTGTAAAAGGATGAGAATAATGAGCTTGTCCCAGGCAGACAGGGCAGTTTAAAAAAGTCAATTTTCTTAATTAATGAAAAATGTCAACACATGAAAAAATGTCAATACATGAAGGACTCCTTTGCACCATATCAGTTGAGCTGCATAGAACAATGCAAGCTCAGTGCAAGGTCACATAGAAAACAATTGTTTTCCCATGTGCCCCGTTCACACATCATAATGCTGTGTTGGGGTGCGGTGCGCTACCTGAAAATGCAGCATGCACTGCGGTGCTAGCGCTTGAATAAAAAAGGGTCATTATAGAACAGTAAGGTTAAAGAGAAAGGAAAAGTAAAGCGTGAGCATTGCACGCCTGTTTTAGAAAGTGGACTTGAAGGTACACTTATCCTTTAAAGTGACACTAAACTCAGGAGTTAAATCTTACAAATACATTCACGTACCTTAACCATTAACAATGTATCCTATTTGTGTATCACTCGGCTGTAGATCCTCAAATCATCTCTGAATTGGTGCTGACACTCTCCTTCCTTCTGGAGGGTGGGTAATTTTGTTCTCAAAGGTCCCCGTGTGTGTTGTAAAGTAGTCACCACTCCAAGCTCGCTCCTGTGATGGACTACAATCTCAATACAAATTAGTAAACTAAACGTGAGATTCTAGTCCATCACAGAAGTGAGTTTGGAGTGGTAGCTACTTTACAACACACACAGGGACCATGGAGAACAAAAGTAGCCCCCCTCCAGAAGGAAGGACAGTGTCAGCACCAATTCAGAGATGATTTGAGGATCTACAGCCGAGTGACACACAAATAAGATGCATTTGTATTAATCGTTAAAAAGGTACTTGAATGTATTTGTAAGATTTAACTCCTGAGTTTAGTGTCACTTTAAAGGGTGCACCTTCAAGTCCACTTTCTAAAACAGGCGTGCAGTGTGTAGGAACAGTGCAATGCGTTACAATGCATCTCACGCTTTACTTTTTCTTTATTTTTTACTTTATCGTCTTATAATGACCCTGTATTCAAGCCCTTGCACCGCAGTGCATGCTGCATTTTTAGGCAGCGCACCCCAACACAGCATTATGATGTGTGAACACAGCACATGGAAAACAATCGTTGAGTTGATTTGAGGAGTGATACACACTAATAAGATACATTTTTGTTAATAGTTAGGATACTTGAATGAATTTTTAAGATTTAACTCCTGAGTTTCGTGTCACTTTAAGGCACAGATAGATGTGATGTTTGAGCATGAAAGAATGGGAAACTCACCTGTAAAGAGTCTGTGGTATGGTTGGTTGGCTGACCGCTCTTTCCATAACCTTGTCCATGGGCTGTCAGAAGCCGTCCACTCAGGTCAACCGCTGCCCGCCAGTTCTTGCTGTTCTGTTGGAGGAAAACAGGTGAAGGTAACTAACAAATGGTGCCAATGAAGTGCTCGGCTGGTTAATGTGCTTGAAGCGGCTCAATCCAGCCATCAGTAATGATGACAAGGTCAGTAAAGATGGCCAGAGAAGCCATAGATGTCATTTGTCAAAGCTGTACGTATAATTAGGCAGTAAGTGAAGCCAAGCATGAGGCTCAGTTTATGGCAAACACGAAGCACTGACAATATTACAAAACAACAAATCCCCCTTTATTTGCAATGATGCTAATGGCACACATTCTATCGTGGGTTAAAATGTTCACAAGCTGCATATATAATTGACAACTTTTTCTGTTTCTTGTGCTTTCTGTATACAAAGGATTGAGGTTACAGAGAAACCCGAGGAACCTAAAAATGTTTTTAAAAATCTGGATTTTAAAACTAGCAAATGTACAACACGCAAAGCATAAAACAAAAGGAAAAATCCCCTCACCTAAACCTAAACCTACCCCATTACGGATTAATTTATAATGGCAAAAAGGAGGATACAATTCCAGAATATTGCAGCTAATGGTCATACTAAATATATACATTGTCCTGCAAATAAATCACAACACAGGAGGTCACTACCGTACCATAGTTGGAAAAGAAAATGGCGCTTATATTGTTTGTGGTCTGTTTTTGTACACTGGCAGCCTATTCAAATGACTGGGCCAACTTAATGCAACACACTTTTATGCACCAGTCATTCAGAATTCATCTTTTACTGAACTGGAAAGACCAAATGCTGACTTATACTGAGGGCCCGCTCACGCCTACCCAATGCAGTGCGTTGCAGTAATCCATAAATTAGTGCATTGTGGTGCTATTCATGGTCAATGACACCCAAACACACTAAGGCAACGCACCTCAGTAACATACTACCAGGCACTGTGGTGTTCTGCATTGGGAAAACTGGAGCATGTCCACATGTCAACACAACTCAATTTGTGTGGTCGATGTTGGTGCGTTGGCAGACCAGTCAAATAAATGGGCTGTCTTAAAGTAGAACTTTGGTTCACTGGATCAGCTTGGTATAATATTTATATATATATATCTATATAGATATATAAAATTCCGAGCGCCAACAATCATCCCGCGTTCAAAGGCTGTTAAATTGCGCTGTTTACATCATATGTTCAGAAAAAAATCACTTCTACTGTCGTGGTAAACAACCTGCTTCCCTATTTATAATGGTCTGGCCCTCTAGCAACTTCAGTGCGAAATTATAGCTAATTTGCCTACAAACGTCATAATAATGGTCATAATAATGTGGCCACTCAGTGTGTGTGTGTGTGTATATATATATATATATATCACCAAGCTGATCCAGTAAACCAAAGTTTTACTTTAAGACAGCCCATTTATTTGACTGGTCTGCCAACGCACAAACATCATGGGGCACCAATCAGCTCCAGATTTTGTCTGCTCCAGTTTTGATAAATTCCCTTTGCAGCATTTCTGCAGATCGCACTGGACGCACTATATATATGAGATAGAGACCTTAGATTGTAAGCTCCATAAAGGGCAGGGACTGCTGTGCATGTAAATTGTTGGCACTACATAAATACCTGTGATAACAATACACTGTGCATACTAGCACAGAATGTCTAAGAGCTCCAAGGGTTCTTTTTTAATAGCTAGCTGTATTTCCACTTTAACCTTTACCTCTTGTTATATTAAGGCTAGGTTCACACCTGCACTGCACAGCCCACGGGACGCACGTCCCGGGTGTCGTGTGGGATCCTGAACGATGTAAGCAGCGATTGCCACGCAGTCCCATTGATTTCAATGGGGTGACATCCGCGCAGCAATCGCAGAAAAATAAAAAGGTACAAGTACTTTTTTTGCGATACACGACTTGCGGCTGTTTTAGCGTGTTCGGAAGCACGGGCGGAAACAGGGCGGGAAACCGTGTGATCCGTCTGGCGCGACTGGGGTGCCATTAGAAAATAATGGCACCCACAGTTCACACCTCGGTGACTCCTGACCGTGCGCCAATCTGCACAGAATCGTGCATGATTGCCGCGTGGGGAGGTGTCGCCTAGGTGTGAACCTAGCCTAACAGTACTCACCTATTATGTGATGTTAAACGTCACTGTACAAAGTGTCACATACAACATATTGATACGTGTTCCTTTGTTGGCTTCTTTTAATTTCTTCTGTTGGCGAGTTCTATACATCCGTTAAAGAAATGTATAGGCTTCTCTACCCAAATGTGATAAGCAAATGCATACTAGGTAAATCTATAAAAAAAGACATTTACCCGTCTACTACCTATAAATAAGATGTATGAAATATTTAGAGTCAAAGCAGGTCCTTGGCTCCAAAAAAAAAAAGAGGAAGACCTTAGGTCTTCAAATATTGTCCTTGCAATCCACTAAATTAAAAAAATAAAATAAAACCAAAAAAAACATAGGTGCCCAATATTGTACCCCAAAAAACACAACACACATTTTCAACAAAAAAAAAAAGTGAGAAATGAAATAACTCTTCTTTTATAGCACGCAGGAACTCAGCATTTTCCACAGACACCGCTAATAGTATCTGTGCGCCATTCCTCCCTAGAAACAAAGACTCAAAGGGGGCCATTAACGCTACATGTGACACCATTAAAGTGATTAAAACGTCCTCCTCCACCAGTTATGACATTCTTCTCCATCATAAATTACACTGCTACAGCACATTGGCACAGCTTTGGAAAAAGCATTTATTAACCCCTGATGGGGATTTTCCTGTCTGCAGAAAAGAGAGCACCAAGCCTCTCCATTATACCATTAAAAGCTTTGTTAGCAGTTGGCTTGAACTGTCCATTGCCTGCTCGGCTCCAACCCAACAATTGACCCTTTTATGTTTGACAGATACATCCGCGGGTGATTAGCAAGCGATCCCGCATAGAAATGTTTTTTTTTTTAAATCTCAAAACCTTTTGGTTCCTGGCAAAATGTATCAACTAGTGCTGGCATTTTTCCAGATTTAAAAGTATATTGTCTCACATTAACGGTGAAGGAAATTTGACGGTCAAAACAATATCCAGACAATAAATGTTTGCACCTTACTGCACAATAATGTTTTAGTTTTCTAGTGAACTCTAAGAGGGTGATGTAAAACATTCCCACCCAGTGTGTAGTTGGGTGAACACCATTCACACGGCATTCCTGCCACTAGATGGAGCAGAGGAGTTTTGCTGCCCTTCAACTTCATCTAGTGCTGAGAATTCTGTGCGAAGGACATTCGCCCAGCTATATGCTATGTAGAACTCTTATACATCAACCCCACCCCAAGGTAGTGTGGCTCTAGGGGTTAACATACACTGCCATTCGCCCAGCTATATGTTGGGCAGAACAATTATACATCCGTCCCCAAAAGGTTATTAGGTATGCACCGATACCGTTTTTTCGGTGTAGGGTACGAATATTGATTTTTTTTTTCGGTACTTGCCGTACTGAATACTGATACCAAAAGTCTCATTAAGGAAGCTGGACGCCGTGTAATGACTCACCACCCAGCTTCCTGATTAGCCAGGGCGGCATAATATGACTCACCACCTGGCTTTCTGATTAGCCGAGAAGCTGTCTCCATGGTCACCATGTAACGAGGAATCGGCTTTCTGGCCAATCAGAAGCCGGGGAGCGGGCGAGTCATTACACGCTGCCTGGCTTCCCGATTTTGTGGTGAAGCTGGCTCCATGCTCTCGTCACCAAGTGCCTGGCTTCCTGAATTGGTCGAGAAGCTGGCCAATCAGGAGGCCAGGTGGCGAGTCACTACCCGCCCCTCGGCTTCCTGATTGGTCAGAAAGCCAGCTCAAGGCTTCCTGGAGATGGCTTCACTGCTAATCGAGCCTCCTGGCTTCCTTAATGGGACTTCCGATACCGGTATTGGAGAGTCCCGAAAAAAAAAAATATATAGTGGTACTAGATACCGAAAAAATGGTATTGGTGCATCCCTAGGGTTAAATACGGAGAGCATTAATGCGAGTACTCTTGATATCGGGACCGATACCGATAGTATCTGTCCATTCCTAGTTAGTATTCTCTATGGGTGAATATGACTCTAGGGGTTAGTATATACACGAGCATTCCCTCAGCTATATACTGGGCAGAACAACTATACATCCACCCCCAAGGGTTTGTATACTCTACAGGCTACTATACACTGGCATTTCCCGAGATATGCGCTGGGCAGAACAATTATACAACTGCCCCCAAGAGTTAGTATACTCATTTAGTAGGACTCTAGGGGTTAGTATACACCAGCATTTGCCCATGTCCTGGGCAGAACCATTATGCATCAGCCCCCAAGGGGTAGTATACTCTGAGTTAGTATGACTCTAGGGGTTATTATGCACAGGAATGTGTGCATTCTGATTTGAGGCTCTGTTGCAAGATTTGCAATGCATTGGATTTGATTGTACTAGACAGTGCTCACTTCTTATTTATTGTTATATTTGCCATGCATTGCTGTTCTTTCTATATACAAGTTGTGTAATGTAATGTGAACACATCTCAATCACATCTATAACACAGTGGGGGGAATTTATCAAAACTGGAGCAGACAAAATCTAGAGCAGATGTGCATGACAACCAATCAGCTTCTCCCTTCAGTTGTTCAGTTAAGATTGTAAAATGAAAGAGAGACACTGATTGGTTGCTGTGCACAGCTACTCCAGATTTTGTCTGCTCCAGTTTTGACAAATTCTCTTCAATCTGGTTTTCCTTAAAAGCATCAAAAAACATGCAGCACTTCCTTCCGAGTCCAGCGCTTGCATACACCAACTTTATGTCGTGTCATACACAGTAAAAGAAAGCCAGTTTGAAGTCTGCCCATCCTTGTTTGAAGTACACATTATCTGAGGTCTACATTATACTAGGTCAGCTCACATATGTAAAATCACAATCGCTTCACCAGAAGGCTCGTGATCTCTACAATAAAAAGTAAATCCACCCAAGACAGATTTAAATTTGGACTGTAGGGTGGTAGG